TATCCACAAGTCCCAGATCGCAATGCTTGTGACTGGGCCCCGTCTTGGATTGTGCATAGGGACAAACACTTTGGCTGGATGTAATGGAACTTCACAAGTCCCAGTTAGTCACCTGTCCCTGTCCAGCTCCACCTTTCTGTTGGCTAGGCAATCTTTTGTTGAACATGCTGTGCAACGGGCAAAGCCTCTGGCCAAGAGCTCAATGAGCCTCTTCCTGTGTTTTCGAGATGATGCAGAAGCATCAACAGAGCAACGGGATAAAGAACGCCACACAACTCTCCAACCCCTTGGGCGTCGAATCAAAGATGGTGGTCGTCCACCCGATCACATTTCCAACGCTGTGTTTCCCCTTCCAGGCAAGTGCTTGTTGCCCCAGACTGCCAACGGGCAATAGGGCCTGCGATATGCATGCTGTGACAACTGCAATCAACCAAGTCTTGCACAATAGTTCGCACCAAGTGCGCCAATGCACTTGGACCACACATTCAAGTCAATCCCTTCCTTTTGCCGTGGTATATTCAACCCTTCCGCACAGTAACGTAACGCTTGGCCTTCTTGCCAAGGAAACAATCAAACAAGTAACGTTCTTTTGTGGCGGAGCAACGTAAAAAACATAAAAATAACGCTCTGAAAGAACGCGACAAAATTGTTTGGTGCGGAAGGCTTGAATATACGGCAACTCACCAACCTCGGGGGCTTTGCTGGCCTCGAGGGCCCGTGGCTTCTCACACTTCCCCAACGCGCATTACGACAATCCACAACACCTTGACGCCAGGACGAGGTCAAACGAGCCGCGTGCCCATCAGGACCAACCAGCGGTCGAGTTTTGGCAACCACAGCCAGCCTTGCCCCCAGCGACCACCAACTACTACAACGGCCCCTCAGTCACCTCCCGCCCAGCCGCCAGGACCGCCTCCAGCCCGATTCAACAAAATCGCCACTATCGTCATTCCCCCGCCCAATCAACCGCCTCCCTCCGGGCAGACCCAGACCCCCCCGGCGGACTACTCCCCCAGCAGAGGCCGCCACCCCGATTCCATTGGCGCGAGCCATGGCAGGGCCACGCAGACCGGCGCCAGCCACCGGCCGCCTGCCGAAGAGGTGCGCCGCTCCCCGCCCGCACCCACCGCGCCCCTCCGCGGCACCCCGTCGCGGTCTGCAGCCCCCATCGGGCCGTCCAAGTCAAGCAGGTGCACCCACGCCGCCGGGGGGCGATGGCGCGACCGGACGGGCGAAAGCAAACGCCGGCGCCCGCACAAGAGGCGATTCCCACAGAGCGCGGCGAGCGCAGGCAATCGAAACGCACGGGCAGATCGCGCGGCCAAATCGCGCAGCTCTCCGCCACACACACCCGCGCGAACTACCCCCGCCGCCCGAGGCCCTGGGCCGGACAGGGCGACCATCGCCCAACGCCGCCCCAAAGCGCCAATCTCAGCCTATATCCTGATCTCGAACCGAACAGGTTCAAAGATAACATCTCAGAGGCCATACCCAGGACCTGCCCTGAGGGTCAGATGGTCGATTCTGAGTGGAGGCTGGCGCATATTTGAGGGCTGACTGGCTGAGGATTGAGAAAGACTGGGATTGATATGGCCCCGTCTGATCGGGAGTTGTCCTGAGATCCTGAGATGCTTGAGGAGATTCCTGATCCATTGACCCTGAACTGAGTTGATAGGAAAGAGGTGAGGTGCGCGGCGAGGGTTGGGCTGGGGTTGCTGAGGATCGAGTCAGTATTGGCTGGTTGGATGAGTGACGAGCGAGGTGGTGCGTTGGTGTGTCGCGTTGTTCCATCCGTTGTTGGCGGAAGGTGCTCGTGGCTGCGGTGGACCTGGTTAGAGGAGCTTCATGTTTGGTATCAAGATCTCTACTTGGCTTGCCATGCATTGTATCATGACTTTGTTTCGCACCTTCTATTTCATGGCAATCTGAGGCATTTACTGGTATGTACTGCCCTTGGCTGTCGCCTGTGTTACGTATGTTGGTTACTATGCATTATTGCCCACGGGTGGCACACTGTTGCATAAAGAGACAATATGCTTTGCATTGGCTTCCTTTTCAATTGGGACAATCAAGGTTGAAATTCGACGTTTTAATGTATTGCAAAGGCCATAGTATGTAGCATGGGACATTCAGAGCCAACACATGTTGGCTTCATGATGATTGTGTTCTTGCAGCACTGTTGTACTGTGGACCTCGGCGCTCTCATGTAACAAATAGTATAGGAGAGGGTGGCCGCCCACTGTGCAGTAATGCTGCATTGATGCTGTCAGCATGATACCAGTTTGTGCTGGCCTCTATGCTTTGTGCTGTGTTGTGTGTTCTTGGAATATATGGAAGTAGTCACATGTTAACCTGCATGTCAACCAACTGGAGTGTCTAAATTGCAGAAAAGAGGACAATCTTAGTACATCATTTTCTTTTGCAAGCCATTGTGCTGTTCTCGGATGATGGTACACAATAAATGGCGTGACAAACCAGCAAGCCAACAGTTTCTTTGATCTCGAACACTTTCTTCTACTCAATTCAGTCCATGCGAATGCAGACAATGATTCACACACCTGCAATTCAATATGTACAACATGGTCAGCATAGCGTCCAGAACGGCACTTGGCTGTAAAGGTCATGCTCAGTCGCCACATAGGAAGTCATTGGCATCAAGGAGCTTGATTCACGGATCCGTCACTGCTGTTGTTCACAGCATGCCATCTTCCCCACTTGCAAGCCACAATAGAACCCATGCACGGGGCGCTTGTGCACTGTCTGCAGAGTTCAAAGGTACACTCACATGCAAAGCAAGCCACAAGGCGGTTTGCATGAGATCTTGTTTGCTTGGGTGGAAACAGTGGTGGCCATGGATGCGACTGGTTGTTGAGCTTGCACCTGCAGCATATATTCTGGACATGTCACTGCCATCGACAAGCGCTCTGTGAGATTTCTTTGACTGCTATTGCCTTCGTATTGCCAAACAGTGGCTCATGTACCTCGCGGGTGACAAACACGTCTGGCGGCACGACAACAGACCCTTGATCACCATAGTCTACCTATAGTGGCACTTCAGCTTCTGCGCTGGGTTCTGTTCTACGCACAACACTGTCACATGCAGCAGCCTGATCCCTTGGTGCCGCAGTGGTTGCCCGTTTTGCCCATCCTTGCTCTGGCACCTCAACCCATTTCCGTGCAAAAACCAGGTATCCAGTGTGTCCCCTCGAATTCCACCCGGGCTGAGACACGCACATATCCTTCTCTGTTGGTTCATCTTCAAGCCCTGCAATACAGCACCAAACACTGGGAAAAGGATATACATTTCACACAGATCCTATTGAATAAACAGCAGTAAGCATGCAATCATCGATACCCGGCTCTCAGCAGTTGAACATGCTCGCTAAGGGTGAATGTGCTCAGGACATGGCCAGAAACTGCGTCAAACTGACTGTTTGTTGCCACAACACTACTGCAGCTATTTAGTTCACATTGACACTGGCCACAAGCGGACAGCAAGAAATGGAAACCAACCAACAACTGGAAGGAAGCCCACATCAATGGGAACACCGCCAGAAAAAAACCAATTGTCAAAAATTTTATTTGATGCTTCAACAAAGTAGCCAACCTGGCGTTGCAATCTCCCCGTCAGTGTGCACAAGACGATCGTTCAGCTTGTAGGCCAAGCTGCCACGAGTTCAAATGACGTAACAACAGTTTGTCCCCAACCTGCAACAGTCTTAATGGCACACGCATCAGCGCATAAAGCCATGCCCCTCAGTGGCGTTCCACGAATTGCGCAACCAAGGTGCTCTGCAGCACCAGCCCTTCTACTCGCCTTCTGGTCACAAGGCTACTGAGCCATTGCCTTCTGATAAGCTATCTTCATCTGTACCATGATCATGATACTTATACCGACCGTCTTGTTTGATGCTCTGACTGAGCTTCAGTCAGCGGAGAATTACAAACCATCATGCCCGTTGCTCACCTTGCTCAGCATCGACATCCCCGGGCCCCCCTTCAACGCTGTCTGCAGGCTGTGTTGGTTTGCTTCCCTCGACACCTTCTGTCTGTCCGGGAGCCTTGGCAGCCTCGAACTGGGTGCGCGCTCGTTTCCCTGCAAACAAAGGCCAGTATCTGTCAGAACAGAGCGACGTGTCTTTCGATTGCGAATCAAGACCTGGACAGTGTACTGCCCTGCACAAGCAAGTCAGTGACAGACGAAATTCCGTCATCAGCACGTTGCTCGCATACCAGCAAGACCCACTGAGGAATGGGTACGCCCAAACAACTGGCATGAAAAATAGCACTTTCGACAAGCTTGATTCACAGGAAATGGGGATTCGTGACTCAAGCGATATCCACTTGTCAGGCCCTTGCTTCTACAGTTGGATGCCACACAGGGCCGCTGCCCATCAGATCTTGAAGCTAGTTAACAGTAGTTGAGTAGCTACTGTCGAAAAAAGCAACCAAGAGGAACAAAACACACAAGTTCTTGTGCCTTATTGTGCAATACTTCCCAACTAAGATATCAACAGAATTGCAAATGCCACATCTCCTTTTGCCACCAGGAATATCTTGGAGATCATCTAGCACGTGGAGCAATGGCTACAATCTCACACAGCCATCGATTCAAAAGCCGTTTCCGAGTTTCAGTGTTGAACACCCACCCACATAGCAACAGCTGCTGTGGAGATCATGCATGCCACCCATATTACTAAGACCGTTGGGGGTTGGGGTGGGGTGGGGGTACCGTGCGTGCCAGAGTGCATTCTTGGGGATTTTGAGTATATTCATTCTTTTGTCGTTGGGAATGCAGACATCAGTTACACATCACAAATACCATGAGCAACAAGTGCCACTGCAGAAAAGATGTAACCTGTAGCACATTTATTAAAACACAGTCACCTTGCAGTGCCCTCCAGTGCCTTGCAGGTGTTTAGGCCAGCCAAACATTTGAGGTGTCAACAACAAATGCCATCCAAGCAGATCTGAGATGCCAACTGGGCCAATGCAATTCGTCAGGCAGCATTTGCCCGTGCCATTTACTCTTCTATTCCCAGACCTGACAAGTGTGTCACATGGTAGTGATCTGTTCTATGTTGCCTGGTACACCACTGAGTATGCAGATGCACCACGACACAACCACTGTCCAATAGAACAAGACAGGTCACAGTGTGCTCCAACATATTGAAACATGTTACAATATGTTGTCATATGTGTCCATATCCATTGCGGTGAACACACACCCAATTCAGTTAATTGAGCACGTGCAAGTTCCAATCAAACTCATCCACCTTGACGACCTTCCCAATTGCCTCCACCTGCCGTGAAGTTCGTGAGGAACTTCACCGTTTTGACTTGGTGGTCTCTCGCAAGGCACTCCATTACCCGCACGTCAGTGAAACCGCAGGCACGCATCCTCTCCACAGTCTTCTGCACCTGCTCCATGCAGGGACTGAAGGTGCTGATCCTGCCCCCGATGCTCCTGAGGCTCGAGTGGGCAGACTGGACGACCTGGTCGACAAGCATGAAGATAGCACCCTCATCCGCATCCTGCACTGTTTAATTTTATCCATACCATTGCTGGTGCTGGCTGTCCATTCGTGCCTTCATTATCATTGCCTTGTGCTTGTGCTTGTGATGCATTGCATTGGACTAAAGGTGCTGATCTGGCTGCCGATGTTCATGAGGTCAGAATGGGCGTATTGGATGAACTGGGCGGCAATCACGCACAATGGCATGTTGCCCCCAGAGCATCCATTTTGTGTGTTGGCATACGTACACATCCGATGATGATGACGGCATTAATACATGCCTTTTTTACGTCAAGTCAGCCGATATTGGGCATCGCTATTTATTGTCCTGGTTGCTTGGCATCTTGGGCTCAAACAATGCTTCCATACAACTTTGGCACGCAATGTACTGAAGAGCGCCATGGAACTTTGCCATTTCTGCATGGGATCTGCTGTGAATTGTGCATGTGCATACAGTAAAGAGCCCCACCTTCCATGGAGAAGGCAGATCAAGGAACACACCATGGGCCTTGCCAGAAAGCTCATCGGGAAAACCTTCCACCTCGATGTCCCTCTGGGTCACTGTGACGACTTCTTGCAAGCCTTGGACAGGCAGCCACACCATCAGTAGCAATCCAAAAAACGTTGCAGTCCACCACATCCAAACTCGCAACGTACATTACAGCACAAAAAGGGAAGGGAAACACAAGACTGATACTCAATTGCAAACCTGAGGCTTGGAGTCTCAGATGTAATGTATTACTTTGGAAAAGACGCCTCTCACCATGGCTTTCAAACTCTTCCCTTGCCCAGTCGGCCCGTTCCTTGTGGTACTCAAACGTGAACAAATGGCCCCCCGGAGTCACAGCCCTTGCCAAGGCGTGACTTAGGGAGCCACTGCCTGTGCCGCTCTCCAGCAGGGTGACCCCCGGTCGTGCCTCAAGGAAGCCGCAGACCATGCTGATGTCGGGCAGATACAGGATCTGCGTCCTGTGTCGCAGCACTACCGTCCACAGCTCTGGCGTGAGGGCTAACAGGTAGAGTGGGGGACCCCCAGGCGGCTTGGCAGGCCACACTGTGCAGCCGAACGGCCGACCGATCCAGTCCTGACAGCACCACCTGGGCAAGGAGTCAGACTGAAGGTGGATGCAGGCAATGGCCGTTCTGCCTTTTCGACGGTTATGTTGCATTGCTGATTTATCTGGATAGCAATGCAATGGCGCACCGTATTCACTGCAATCTGTATGGAACAACAGTGTCCAAAAACCCCGTCGAGTCTGCCTGGGCAGTGCACCAAAAGGTATGTTGCACAGGCATGGCTTGACTGTCAATGAGCAACAGCCTCCGATGCAACCACCGATATGTGCAAGTTGAATTCACAAACATTTGCATAATCAATCATCATGTTTCACACCATGAACAAGAGTCCTACAAGCACTTCTGCTAGGATGAGTGGCCATCGCACTATTCCCCTTTTTTGCTGCAATGAATCTCCACCCCATGGCAAGAAACAGATGTGGACATTTCCTGTTCCAGCGTCGCCATGTGATGGAGCTCGTACACCACTGGCTGGCTTTTGCACTGATGATGACGATGATGAATTCCTTAATTACATAGCCTTCGCTAAACCCAACTCCGCTCCCAGCAGCATCAACACGCTGTCAACAGCCTGCCTGTGCCACCTTTCGGCGATGTAGGTCAGAAGCAAACTAAAGCGATGTCCACGTAGAGAGAAATTCACGTACAGAGGTGGCTGCTGACTGTGACAATGGAGCCATCAGAATGTAGTGTCTAGTGTCAGAATGTAGCTGGGCTCCTTGGTACGAAACTGTCACTTGGGTGCCCAACAGAACATGCTTCTCAACAAATTCCAAACCAATCAGGGGACCGCTGAATTGATGGACGCGTTCTGGAACGTGGCCGGCACAGCTGAAGCCGCGCTGGCACACCGTTGAGAGTCTTGGGTGCGCGCACCAAGACTTCAGCAACCACCCTCCTGTTCACTTCCATCCTTGCATTCTGCTGGGCGCAGTCTCCCCCCCCACTTGGAGACTGCTGCACCATCACGTACAACGTGGAAATGTTTTCCGCGCAAAACTGCCCAGCAACGGGCAGCCCATTGCATGGCGCCAAAAGGAAAAGCCACTTTTCGCAAAGCCGCCACCCTGAGGGCCAACTGGCTGTGGGGAGTGCTGGAGCTTCGAACGCTGCCTACCATCAAACGCCAGCGGCTGCGCGAGAGGCCAAAAATTGCAAATGCACTCCCCCCCAATGCGCGCCATTCGAAGTTCGTCTCTGTGCGCTGGTTCCCTCACCCTCATGTCGAAGCTGCCGTTCTTGTTGTTGAACGCGCTGGCCGCGTCGACGGTCACGGCCCTCGTGTTGTTGGGAGGAGAGAAGGCGACCACCGTGTCCCCATCGCGGATGACTCTCCCGCCTGTCGCCATGGCCGCGGCTCGTCGAAGTTCGCGTCCGCCGATCCGGAGCAGCCTGGCGATGGGGTCCTGCGGGCCCAAGACGCCGTTGGGTTTTTGCTGCGGTTCCGGATATGGATGTCATTGGCATTGGCTTGTCCAAAATCCTGCAGTGCATCGTGTTGTTGTTACTTGAGTTGATCGAGCATTATTAACAATATTGTTAACATGAATGTTGTAACTGGAACTGATCGAGTATCATTGACAGCTGAATGTACAAAGAGATGATGACGCACTAGGAATTCCATTAAGGACGTTGATGAACGGACTGAATATAATAAGAGACAGAACTCTTGTTGCCCCTTTGCCGCGGCTGTGAACCGTTGCCGTGGACTCGAGCCTACGATCCCAGTTCAGGGATCGCCACCCCTCGATCCTGCCTGACAGCGACGGCACAGACGAAGATAGGACGAGCCCGATGATGGCAAGGGCGGCGAGGCTAAAGACAATGTCCATGGCAGACTGAATGAATGAATGTATCCTTCAATGCAACATGAAAATACGACGCAGGTGACGACGGTGCCGACGGCAGAGACCAGGGCGACGAAAGTGTGGGGGCCTCAGCGCGATTGGACGATGAAAGCGACGAACCCGACGAGGAGCGCAACGACGTCGGGGGGGAGGGGGAAGGCGACGGTGCTCGTCTGCTGCTGATGCGGAGGGCGACCGTGGTGACACCGTTGGTGTCTTGGATGACGAGGTGGAGTGGAACGACGTCAGGAAGGGCGGGCAATGCTGAGGGTGTATGAAGGCGGGGCGTTGGTACGTGGCAAAGCGGGCAAGATTGGCCTCTGCTTTTGCTGGTGTTGGACTGCTTGCACGGAGTGTATTCAGTGTGTGTTTGTTGTTTGCCTGGTTCCTGGGATGAGAAGCGCCGCTTTCTCCGCATGGATGCACAGTGGCAACGTGCTGGCAAAGCCCTGGCCAATGCCATTCCTGCAAGGGATACAGGTGCATTTTCTGGGCACCCTGCCCAGGTGACTGCACAATCCGGTGCAGATCGTCTCTCGCCCCACAACGCCTTTTTCTGGCATCCAGCCTGCATTGCATTTCGCACGATGTCAAGCCCAAATACTTAGTACGTAACGCATACAATGTGAGGGACTGCAGATTAACAGAAATTGTCTGGACAGCCGGAGTGCCGTCATCCTGCACCGCGCTGCTTCAGTCAATCTCACGCGCTCCTGCTGCAGTCTTGCTGGCTGCACTGAGCTCAACAGCGCCGTCGTTGTCATTGCGAGCAAGCGAAGCGAGCGGAGCTTTATCTACGGGGATCAAGACAATGCGCTGTTGGGCGGCCCCACGTTATTTCATGTGTTCTGTACTACATGTCGTGCCCATTCCATGGCTCTTGTCATCGGCGGCCGCAGGCCCCACGAGCAACATCACGAGGGCTGCGCCACGTCCTCAAGTGAAGAATCGCCACACAAAGAATGTTACAACAGAAAAACGACCCTCCCACCTCCCAACCGGACCATGCCACTCCAGCAAAATTGTTCGACTGCCCCTCCGCCACCACCCCAGGAGACAGGCCCGACGTCGTTTCGAGTGCTGGCCGAAAAGCGCACATGCCAACGCCTCCGTCTGCGTCCTGTGCACCGCAACCATCGCTGCTTCTGCGCCGGATATGCCACTGCCGCTGCAAGGGTCCTGTCGCATCCATGTTTGCCACAACCCGACTGCCTATCGCATTACTGTGTTCGCTATGGTCGAGATGCATGGCCCCTGCAACTCCAAAGGTCGGCCACCACGGTTTTAGCCACCATGCCGGCCAGACTCTCTCGACCTTGCCCCGCCTATGAGCGCACATCTGCCTGCAGCCCAGCGGCTTTTTCTTCCGAAGTGAAGGGATCATCCTTGGAAAGGAAAAGCTTGTGGCCTGTGAAGAGCGACCGGCCCAGGAAGCCCAGCTTGATGCACAGCCATGATGTCAAAAGGTTCAAGTTGCCCGTGTTGATGACCGTCATCACCACGCACAGGCCCACAAGGGAGGAGGCAATGTGCGCAAAGGCGACGTAGTTGGCGTTCTGGGACGCCACCAGTGCACCGTCCATGATGGCTGCAGCTGCGTCCAGTGGCTGGAACAGAACAGTGCAAAGCTCAGATGTTGCAATGGCCAACAAGAGGATCCCCAGATCTGTGAATTTTAAAGTGGAAGACCTCAGGCTCTAGTTGGAAATGTGCCCAATTTGCTTTATGTTCACTGGTTCACTGTTTTGCTTAATGTTGCATTGGTTTCAATGGGCAAAATATGGAGCTCGTGGCTACCTTCACATTTGGATAGTGATTGTCTGTACAAGAACGGACGCCTTACAGATAATAATTGGCAACAATGGCATTGTTTGCAACGCAGAGCGCTGGACTGAACTGGTTCTTACACAACGGCGTCTTAAGACGAAGTTAGTCAACATTTGTCTGTGGTATCATGGAAGCCCCTCACAGAAAAACCCTGTTCAAATAGTGCCTATGTTGTAAAGACACTGGCAGAGACTGCAGGGAAGCATGGCTTTCAGGCTCATCAGTGCAGCTTTTCAGGCAAACAATTTTTCACAATCAGAGACATGGTGCACCAGTTTAGTTACATTTGACCAGCACTCCAAAAGTCACTATCAATGGATTTCCACTGACCCAGCTGCACCAGTATCTGGCTGTCGAATGGACAAATACTGGTCAGTTGAAAAGCCATGAGCACACACCATTTCCCAAAGCTCAGATCATGCCATGTTGGGTGTCTGGATAAACTATGCTCAGGCTGTGCAGAAACTTGTCACATTTCCTGGTAGAGTATCGTTGATCCAGAGGTACTGAAAGTGCAGACTTTGGAGCACATTCACGCACTGCAGCATTGGAATCTCCTAATACTGACAGTAATTCTGTGGCAATTGCATGGCATTCAGTATCCTGCATTCTTTCATATGGCAGTATTAACTGCCCAGGAGATGGCCAAATAAGAGATGTGGGTCTGTGCCATCTCAGATGAAAGTCAGCAAGCCCTTCGGGATTTTTTGCTGCTCGACAGTCTTACAGCATGGAGGCTAAGCACCATCCAACAAATGGTGCTACCCCATGTCAGCAAAACACTTAGTATTCCCAAACGAAAGTCACCACAATGCCAGACAAGCACTGGTTTCTATGTAACCCTGCTGTGAACTGTCAGATTTTAGCAGTGTCTCACTGTCACTTTCGCAGCATGAACATGTGACAAAACCGTCGTTGACCATGCTGCAGATTAAGGCACACTCACTGGCAATACAATTTGGCTGTTATCCCTTAGCCAGAACTGCAGGCTTGCTGGCAACTATGTTGTGGGGGTTCTTGGCACACTAAACAGTAGAAGCAAAACCTGCAGCAAAAGACTGCAGCACCAACACATGTCGTACTCACGCACCAATCAACAGGGGTTGACAAGGTGTGTAACATACCAGCACAGCAAAGACGAGCGGAGCAACAGTGAGGAACTGGGCAACGACAGCCATGTCTGTGGTGAACACCCTTCCTACGTGGGCCCTATTTAGCACGAAGAGGAGGCCCACAGATGTGCTGATCATCAGTGCGAGCTGCACAGCAACAGGCGTGGTTCAGGGAAGCACTCTGGCCAACACATTGTATGCCTAGTGCGTGCACATGTACAGTACATCCCCGTGTAGTTGAGCTGCATCACAATCCACCCTGACTTGCCTTTATCACAGCACACAATGAACTGCGCATTTGCACCCACACAGCGAAGACAAGCAATCAACATCGTTTTCTGTTCCTCTTCTACCCACGCACCCAAAGACCAACAAAAGCAGCATGATGTGTAGAAGAGTGCACATGCATTCAATGGTTGCAAGCCCTTCACTGCAACACATCCATGCCCTTTTGAGCATCGAACAAGTTCGAGCCACGGTGCACACCATTCTGTGTGCCCAGGACATTACACCACTATATGATTGTCAAGACGTCAGAGCAATTTTGAACATAGATTTCTGATAGCGAAAGGGCTTCTTTCACATGCCTGTTCATGTGTGAACCATCCTTTCTTGTACGCAAATGGTTCTCACAATATTCTAGCTGAAAAGGTGGCAAAAGGGAGAGGGGGGAACTGCACAAAACGTTTTCGCGCTTGGTTGAATACAATCTTGGGGACAAGGGCGCACCTGCAGTAACCGCCGAAACACACGCTGGGCGTTGACCACATCTCCCTTGCCTAGGTATGAGGCACACAGGGCCTGGGTCGTGTATTCAAGAGGTGTATATGACAGGTATGCCAGCAGGAACACCTGCCGCATGATTTCAAAGGCAGCAACAACAGTGACGTTAAGGCGTGACACGGCCACGGATGTGTAGAACACCATCCCTGGGGACCAGCACCAACAGAACAATTTGAGTACAACATTTGACTGAGGTGAACTGAGCTGAAACCCCAATAATCTGCATTGAGCAACATCAACCCAAGTCATCAATTGGCCAATTTGCTCATTAGTGCATCAAACACAACACAACAGTTTATGTGATCCAACACAATGGCACACTGATACTACAAAAGCTGCACTACAAGGAGGAAAACTTATGTGCAAGTCCATTACTTGCAATGTTTGTGATACGCTCCCAATTCTCACAGTTACAGAAAGGCACAGAATGGAGCTGAGAAATGTAGTACAGTGCAATGTGCACCCTTGCCAGCAAAATGACGAAACCTAGCAACAAACCCCTGAACATTCGTCTACTGCAGCAAAGGCTCAAACACTCAAACACCAAAGACTCAAACATTCAACCCCCTGTTGCAAGGAATTGCACTATGCGCGCACCAGGCGTCCACCAAGACTGCACCATCAGTCTCGCAGATTGGGAGTCGGTGCAGGTGCACAACACTCACCCAAAGAAATTAAAGAGCGGATCGACAGAGGAGCGCCGTTCCGCAGCTTGAGCAGAAAGGACGTGGCTGAGGGGGGTGAAGTGGCATCCTTGGGTAAGAGGATGCCTCTTTTGAGAAGTTTCCCCAACAGAAACAATGCCCCAACCCACACAGACAAGACTGTCGCTGCACCCGCTCCGACAACCCCCCAATGGAATCCTGCCAAACACAGAGAACTGAGTTGCACTCTTGTTTTCTCTGTTGTCAACGATGGATTTTATTGTGCATTAAAAGCGGATGGGAACCAACACAGTAATGCTTGGAGTGATTGCTCCAGTGCATGGACCCATCCTGGCCTTTTGTGTTCAGAACACACTGTCTGTTGCACAAACAGCGTATCTGTTCGCTATTGCTGCATGTGTACATGTATGGACATTGCCTTCATACGTAATACAAGAGCAGTGCTCTGTCATATCTCAGGCTGGGTATCCAACACTGGCTGGAGATCATAGCCTGGAGATGTGGCAAGGACCATGGGAGCCCTGGGCTCTGACTCTTCAGCATCAACGGACGTCCTACTGGATCTACTCTTTCTGTTTGCCAAGCTGTGTGTAGTAGCACTGATTCAAAATGATTGTACACGCCATGGACATGAGCAGAGCCTTAGCAAACATCTCTTCCCCGACATCATGATTATCTCCATGACTTTCTCCACGATTTTTTGCTGTGTGTGCAAGAGGCATCGCACACCATCAACCATCCTCCCCTTCATCGCAGCACTAATGTATTTCAGGTTATCACTGTTGGAGTTCAAGAAGGATGGGCATAAACTGCCCGGCGCCAGTTGAGACCCACCAAACACAAAGAGCACATCCAGAATGACGTTTGTTGATGCTGAGCAGGCAGATCCCCAGAACAATGCCTTTGTGTCCTTGAGCCCTCTGAAGACGCCAGCAAGAGTTTGGAACAAGAGGGAAACGGGCCCAAAAAACGATAGGCACTTAATGTACAATGCTGCGTACTGTCTCACCCCTTGAGTAGGCTTCAACACTGCAACCAACAGAGGGCGAAATAGACTGCATCAACACAAAAGGTTGCATGAAACAGCACAAGACTGGGCGCCACAAGCACTCCATGCCTGAATCGGCAAGGAGCTTTTGCAACAAGGGGACTTGCTTGTATATATTAGCAATACTTGACAGGGAAGGCTGCAGATTGTTTACCACAATGCATAGCCAACAGCCTCTGAGTGGCAAAGAATCTACCTGGAAGCTGTATGACAGCGGCTAGCAGGTATTTTGCGGAATCCACAGGCTTTTTGCCCTTTCAACAGCCAGCCAAGGGGACCCTGCAATCCATTTGCCGGGCATGAATCGCTGGGCCCTGGACCAACAACTATCAGGTTGCTCTGCACCCCACAATGTGTGCCTGATAAAGTCTCGTTGCTCATGTGAACAGAAGCACTCAGTACAGGATTTTAACCATTCGAAACTTATCACTAACACCCCTTGGCTCATTCTGCAGATATGAAGGGTCCCAAACACGCCAAACGATCGGCAGGCAAAACAGATGCATGGTGGCAATAGCATCAGAGAATCGCATAAAGCAAGAATCCAGCCGTTCTGAATGAGATGGAGGGCTGACAGTGACCAACTGCAGGGGGCAGGAAACAAAGCTCAATCCTAGAAGGATTGCTTGGATCATGAGAATGTGCATCCAGGAAGACGCCAAATTTTCAAGTGGAGCAACGATTGGGCACACACCCATCCCCCAGGCATTCCGATTCCCATCTCCTCACAAGCAATGAGTGCGTCTGCGCCATGGAATGAACACACAGAGATAACTGTGCCGATGATGGTGGCCACCCAGATGCTGTTGGCGATGGTCTTTGACAGCTGCAGACATATATGACAGGTCAAAAAGCAACACATCTTTTGGCTTCTTCAGGAATGACAAAGAATCGACAAATTCCTCCAGGCATTGTCACTCATTTGAACATAGAACACTGCCCTTGACACCTCACAATGAAGGCCATAATGGATCTGCAGTCATACAGATAGAGAACAACATATCACAACTCAAGGAGAATCATTGCATTGACACAGCCCTCCTTGAGTTGCCATGTTCCAGATATCTGCGGGCCTTGCTGGCCAGATATTCAATGCGAAGTAAGCAGTGACTGACACAAAGAGGGCCTCACCAACTAACGGTTTCATTTATTTCGGGACAGAGGAAGTATATCAGATGCTGCCTTTGCATATGCTTGCACGTCATGCAACGGCACAAAGACTGAAGTTGAAGTGAATAGCATTGCTATGGAAGACCATGGAACTGTTTTGGCAAAGCGATTAGTGGCAGCAAGACCATGCATCACATTGCCAGTTCATTGACAATATTCACGCTTCCCATGACACAGGTCCTCTTGAGGGGACTTTTGCGGCAATGTGTGCTGCACAGTGGTGGAGATTTCTGCACCATCTGTCCCAGTACAGAATGGAGTGTCAACATCGAGTTGCGGACGAGGGGTTCCCATTGTGTGACATGTTTCCTGTTCTTTGCTACAATGCACCTTGTACCTTGTACCTTGTACCTTGTACCCCATGGAGGACAGGAGTTACGATGAAAGGAGTCCAAACAAATGCTGGCTTGTCATTGTAGCAACTGCCTTGACATGGCAGGAACAAGGGTTTCGCACGTGTTTGCCACAACCCCAACCATGATACATGATACATGAACCTAATGGAAAGAGAACTAAAGAAAATGGTGGCCTGCCGATTGCAAGCATGACTTTCAGATTCTGGCACTGGCAGTGAGCCCTTCATAATGCAAGCACCAATTCCTCTATCCACTGCATTCATGCACAGTGATAGAATGCAGGTGCTGCACAGGTGAGGTGAAGCACAGCATCCTTGATGTTCATTTATGATACGGTGACAGCACCTCATACCAAAGCACACTCTTGGTTTCGGTCAGGGATTATGTACATTGTTGCTGACGTTGCCCGCCATGAGAATCACATGGATAACGGAGAAGGGTGAAGCAGTACCTTCATGTGAGATCCCATTTTGCATCATAGATTAATGCATATGAGGGATGGCAGACAGGACAGCGAACCAGACCAAAATGGTGCTGATGCACTTTTCTGGATTTCCCACAGATGGTGTGCACGGCTACGTCGCAAAGCCAAGGAGTGGCAACAATTTACAACTGGATACAAAATTTACCCAGGAATACTTGTGGTCTTGGTTGGAAGGAATTTACCAACCAACACAGAGCTGAGCTCGGGACAGGAAATAAGTGCTGTTGGTGGCAAAAATCGAATGTCCGATGTGGACAGATATGAAAGCGAGGGCATTGTGAACTCTATTGTAGCTTCCATCACCGGGATGTACAACAATGATGCAGGTGGTGGGCAGTTCTTGTGCCTGCAGTTTGGGTACCCCTTCAACAGTTTGGGAAGAGAATTCCGCACTCCATCCACATGGTTGGCTGCTGAGCTGCAGGAACAAGCGGTGTTCAGGCCACTCACAGGCTGGCTTGAACGCCCCAAGAATATTCGTTGGTGGTAAGGGCCTTAGTATGCGACTTCTGCGAAGGTATCAGAGTACAACTGGCAAACCACTGCCCTTGCCCGTGTCAGTTGATACATGGACTTCCAGTAGACTTCATGCAATGTGGTTTCCCAGTAGTCCAACCTCCATCCTTTTCAGCAGCAATCAGACATTGTGCCTCACCTCTTCGGGATCGTCATGAGCAGCTGCCTTGGCCACAGCTGGTGTAGTGAGGATTGGAAGGAACACAAACATGGCGGTGAGGATAGTGGTGAAGACGCTCGCAAGGCCCACCCCTCCCAGCTGTGCAGAGCCCAAGCGTCCAACGATGGCTGTGGCAACACCAGAGCCCCCGTCAGGTTGGGTGGACCGGTCCCCACAAGTGCATCCATTCAGTTGGACTGACAAATGGGAGAAAAAATTTATTCCACCGCCGTGGGTTCCTGGCTTTCACTGGTCATGCCGAGTTGATGTACTGTGCGAACACACCCTGTGCCAATGCCACACGTGTGGCCCAGGCTCAAGTCTCCCAGGGCAATAGGAACAAAAAGCTTCCACCACACACCAGCACACACAGAGAAATCAAACGCAGCGTCGCCGATTCTCGACATACCTGCCATACTCTAGAGAAACCCTGGCCAAAGCGCTGTATCGGCCCCTCGCCCCATTCCAACTCTTTCCTTGCCTTCAGCATGCATACGCGCAGAGCGATTTCCCCAGCCCCCCTCCCACCCATCTAGGCGCCTCCAAATTCACCGAAACACGCCGCAACCCGCTCAGCGCAACGTTCGCAATGGCAGCGCCGCGCCCCTCCCTTCCGTTAATCTTCCCCGCGCAGGCCGCCGCGCGATCAGCCCTACCCGTGTCCACGGCCGCGGAGAGCGGCACCAGGAGCGAGGCGCACAGGATCGGGATGCTGATCGCCCAGATCTCCCCGTCGTAGCGCGAAGGCCTCCACAGCGCTGGCCAGCCTGCGCCGCCCGCGCCCGCGCCCGCCTCTGCGCCCCGCGCCATGGCCTCCAGCGCCGACGGCCCGGATCCCCTGGCCCCATCCTCCCCACCGGACGCCCTGGCTCGTACCCCGGTGGCCGAGCATCGCCACCGGGTGCCTGGGTTGGACGTGAGCGGCAGGGCAGGGCAGCATGAACGGGTGGGGCGATCAGGAGGAGGCCGAGGCGCGGGGCGGAGGAGACTCAGCCCGCGGGAGCGGCGGCAGGCGGGCGGGGCCACCCGAACGGAACCGGCGCTCCCGCCGACCGCTCCGGGCGCTGGCATGCCGTCGGGCTGCCCGGGCGGGCCAACCGCGCGAGAATGTTAGGAAAATGCCCCAATGGCCACTGGGGGCGGGTAGTAGAGTATTGGGGCTGTGGCTGGCGCGCAGGTGGGCCCGGGGGCCGGGGGGGACGTGGGTGACCCGGCAGGGCGTCCGTTGCGCTTCGTTCGCGCCCGGGCTGCCGACGGGGAGGCCACACTTGGGGACGCGGGAGAATGGGGAGGTGCGGGTCGAGGGGCGTTATTAGCATGATCGCTCCATCGTTTTGTTCCCCTTTGGTGATCGGTAGACGGCAAATCTGGCAGCCAACATGGACGGCTGCGGCGGCTGCAGCAGAGTGCTGTTGTCCGTTTAATGCACCCGACTTTCGAGTTTCAGACTTGCTTTTGTGGGTTTTGGCAGGTCGACTTCTTATTCACGCACCGTTCCAACCCCGAGCGTCCTCGAGTCGTTATGTGCACATACCTGCTGCACTAAGTGCACCTCTGGGAGCGGCTTCTGTTGCTTCCTTCACTTACCAGTCAATTTTAATCCAGCACTGTGCAGGAATTGCGCCCGTGCTAACACAAGGGCTCCGTCAACGCTCCTTTGTTCGGAAAGTTCCCAGGTAAGACTCGTTTGTGAGATTCGCAACATTGCAGCACTGAAACAGCACAAGCTCCAGCATAAGTGCGTGGGGGAGGCCACGAAGACTGATGAGAAAACCTCGCAAATCTAACTACAAGGCCGCATTGGGGTGGCTGCAAGAGAGAATTGTAAATTACAATTTGGTGATTACAATTTGTAATCACCAAAACGCAAGCCTGCCACAGCGGTGCATTTCGCCAACTGGTAATGCGTTTACACAGTCATCAAAAAGTTGCTACTTGCAAGTCGGTTGCTTCCCCGATGCGCTGACAGGGCGTGGCAGCCTCAGCGCCTGTCAATTTCACAGCCGGGGAACGCACAACTGTGTGCTGTTCCATAACAAAGCGTCAGGGCTGGCAAGGATTAGGACCTGGTCAGCAGGGAAAGTCCGTGATTTTCATGCTGCAAGCTGCCCCGCACAATTCCTCATGGAGAACGCCGCAACGTCAACTGGTGTGTGCATCCCTTCCCCGTCCCACTTCCCCAAAGCAACCTGGCCATAGTGCAAGGTCAGGTTGAGATATCACACGTGGCCTGGCACGACAATGCAATACAGCTCAGCAGAGTACACTACGCACAATACTGTACAACGGAACACAGCATGGTGTGATAACACATATAGGGCCAAGTGCAAAGCACTCTGATGAACTCCCTGTGTTACTCCGCGTTACTTGTGCCTTCACGAGACCAATCAGAGCAATTCCGCCTTGAAGGGAATGATGGGCTACAAGCATCCAAAGCGCTTGTCATAGCCAGTGTTTTATTAACTGCCGAGCGGTCCCGACTGTCCAAGTTGGTGCAAACCTCTGAAACAGCAGGCTGTGCTAGAACCACACACAGCTGTTGCTCTGTGATGTTGGGCCCCGCCGCAAAGTCTAAAAGGTAACAGTGGACATGCATATTCTATGTTGGCTACAGCAATTTGAGTTGAGGGCTTTCATCCAGCAGAGAGATGACAAGCTAGGAAAGGTGAACCACGTTTCAGATTGTGTTATTTCACAAGTGACCAGGGTGCGCATTTCTGGTTCGCCCTGAATGTTTGTCTTGCGTTTTTGACCATTTCAACACATGCTTCAACCTCCACGGCCACAAAAGCCCCTCTGAGGACCTGAGCCCAGAACAACATGGAAGGCAATTGATTCTCCTGTTAAGGATGCATGTATTCAAGCATTGCCTGTTTGTGAGTGACAACACCTCACCTGCTGCTTGACAGAAACTGTGTCTTCTCTACTGCTGCTTCTGGTTGGGGCCACGCTTGCGTCCACGCTGCTGAATCACTAGTAAACATGAATGCAAGGTGCTGTCAGACTCTTAGCTTGTGAAAGCCACTGCTTCCATACAAACTTTTTCCATGCAAATCAACTTGAAAGATAACATGTGCGCATGTGGGACTACAGCACGCCAATCAGGCACCCATACGTCACCCCAGATAAAGTGAACTCAAAGCCTTGCCCATCAGATGGAAAAGATGAACAAGCGATTGGATCAAATGCACAAGCGTATCACAAACCAATCCCAGTACTGGCCGCTGGTGTATCACTGTGGTGGAGAATATGAAACCAGGGCCAGCACCAGGAGTGCCTGCAGTCTAGGCAAGGGTGGGTGCAAAAGTCCTTTGATTCCGTGCATGAAATACCAGGAAAAACACCGACCTTGTGTCTGGGTAGGTATGTGACAGGCAGTCACAGTAAAAAGAATTAGCACGTCAGACCTGGGATATTGTCCACAACAGGGATGCCAAGCCAAGTCGCAATCCAAGGACATAATTATGGAGGGATCATATCTCCCCATGGAGCCCGGTATGGCTAAACAACCAAGGTAGCACCATCAGACATGAGAATAGCTGCACAACACTTCACCCCGATCTGAGTCATTTGACAGCATTTGCTTTAGCACATCGCATCAATATCAACCAATGCTAAACAGGCCTGGGAGTTCACAAGGGATCCACTTGGGCCTGGGGGTATGTGCGCATTGTTGTCCCTTCCCCCTCCTCTCTGCCCTGTCAATGGAATCAATGCGCAAGGGGAAGATTCTGCGAGCCAGTTGGGCAGAGTGGAGTACGCAGCATCCAGAAACGTTGGAAGTCCCAACACGAGCCACACGTCAAAGCAACCATGGGATCTGCTCTTGTTCTGTGACGAACGGAACATAAATAAACCGCGGCGATCAGCCCCAGCTGGAAGGCTGAACCGCCAAAACCAGCACCAAGCCATGCCTCACGTGTGCTAAATCGCCTGTTGTATTTCATCCGCTTCAGGCACCGCCCTCTGGGCTGTTTCTTCTTGTCCTGCTTCTCAACCTTGGGCGTCTGGGCGCGCACCTTGCCGGCGCGGGCCAGCGATCCGTGGACTTTCCCTGCGGGCGCCGGAACGCAAGAGATCAATCTCCGCCACAGCGCGGGCACCGCAACCCACCGACCGCAACATTGCTTCCCTGCCCCGCCCTCTCCCTTCCGCCATCACAGCGATTATATTGTCTACGTTCCGCACCCCTGGGGCGGATCCCTCAACTGGCGCAATCTGAGATTTTGGGAGGTGGGACGGTGCAGCTGGCGAGGCGGCGCGGCGGCAAATGGACACCCATTCGATCGGGCCTGCCGCCGCCGCCGCCGGTCTCCAAAGCATCAGGAGAAGACCACCTCCAGTGTTCAGCAGTGGGGGGTGCCACTCACCCATTGGGGCTCCTCCAGGCGCTCGCTACAGGGCCGTGGGTGCTCAGGTTCGCGGTCGCTCGGACGACAAAGGGTGTGGGCACAGGGGTTGTCGCCACAGTTTTATTGCGGGTGCGCATTTTTTTGTCCACTTCATGCCATGAAGCTGTGAGGAATGTGGCGAGCAGGTTGCTCCCTTCGCCCTGAAATTGACAAGGAGCGTAACGTAGATCACGGAGAACAGGCGCCCCCCCCCCCCCCCATCAGGAATGCGGGGGGCGCTATCTTGCAGCCCCCCGCATTCCGCATCAAGTCGCCGACTCAATAGCGCCGCCCCGCGTTGTCACATTGGTCGGTGTACCGGCAGCAAAGCGTACCGGCGCCCTGCCAATGCAGCGCATTACACAAGGCGCCATTCATGCCAGGAACCAAAACCGGTGACCAAAAAGTGGCAAGACGCCATGCCTCACTGCATGAGGCGCCAATCATGGCGCGAACCAAAGGCAACGAACAACAGCTAGTGGGATGTCGCACTGCAATGAGTATCTTGGGGAAGTGGTGTTTGATTGAAGGAGGGATGTCATGGCACTGTCTATTTGGAATGGACTTGATAGAGGCACTAGTCGCTTCAACATCATATGGATTCACAAAATGCAAAAACATTCTCACAAATTCTTACATTTCGTTGCATGTGCTATCACCCCAATGTTACCCCCCGCGCTCCGCAACACCAGCCATGTTTGATAACGCCGGGGGCGTTATCTAATGGCCACCACACTATTCAACATCCCCCGCGCTATCCTTCGTGATCTACGGCATCCGGTTGTGAATTTGATGGGGGCGTCATGGTTGTGTGGGAAAGGTCCGGCCCGAAAAGTCAAACAGGCACATGAAGATATCTTGCCCCTCATTTTGTGCGTGGTGTGGTCAGGGATAGATTGTTGGCCAATTTCAGCTCGGGGCGTCCCCACCTCCAGTGCAATCATCATACAATAAAACCGTTGCCAGTCGGAATCAGCGTAACCCTTGAAAAATGCGTTCTCTTTTCAAAAATTCCGCCGTCTCAGGACGACCAGCTGTCTTTTCCATTGTTCATAATTGATCAACGTGGAACGGACGCGTTCCTTGGCCAGCTGTTCAGCCCTGGGGTGGACGCTTACCAGCAGGAAAATGCTGCAAGAGCATCCGTGTCCAAACACAGAACTGTGCTGCACTTCAGTCGGCATTTGCACATCCAGAATAGACTCTGTTGCTGCACACTCGGAATGTGCAACGCTTTTCCATTCCCGCACAGTGTAGCGCAACGCTGGAGCTGGCCCTCTTTTCCACGGCTCTCGGGACTTGGTACTTGGGACTCCCGCAAAAGCACAAGTTTCTGCCAATAACTTGTTGCAGATTGGCGCCAAAAGGTCTTCGGCGTCAATTCGTGTACGCTTATGTTGTGCATTGGACATGCTGTCTTAGCAAAACACATCTTTCGAATTGTCTTTCAAAGTCTCCCTGTTTTCTTTCCTAAGAAACCCCGAGTATGGCAAACTATGATCCTTATCGCCAAGGGTGGCTAATGTGCCTGTGCAACCCTCCTTAATCCCCTTACTTTTCATCAAATCTGTCACATTCTGCCAGTTATCTCTCTACCAAAGAAGTACTCCAGCACTCTACTGCACATAAATCTTTTGGCAGGCCGATGATCGCCACAACAGAATAGGCAAGAATACCCGATTCCACCTCTGATCTATACGCCGTTTGTTCTTAGGCTAATTTTTTGGAGAAATTGCGGCTGGGTATTCGGCAACTTACTTCAATTACTACCACCAAGGGTATGCAATTTGGAATGTTAAATCAACCCAGTTATTAAACCAGTAAATTTTGCAAACTAGTTAAATTTGTTGAATGGATCCAATCTTGGCTCGGTGACAACTTCCCTCATCGTAAGGGCTGGGCCCACAATAGCCCTTGAGCCGCTGAACAAGAAAGTCAACAAAGTGTGGGGAGAAAGTACATCCGTGCAAATTGAGCAGGCACGGCGGCGGCACCCCACCAGGGTGGGCCCCGACACCGGAATATTGTGCACGGGAAAAAGGCCCATCGTCACCCGCAACTCGCATTGAACAGATGCAACATCGAAAAGGGCCACGCATTCTTCCTTTCCTTGTCCACACCTCGAATCGCACAACAGGCCGCCTTCAGCCTTCACGCCCGTGGCCGCATCAAGGACCTTTTGGCCGCAGTAAACTCCCCTTTGAAGTCCCTGCCGGTGTCAAAGTTGCCTAAAGGTATTAAAGTCCGCGTTCGCCCCGGCGCCAGGGGCCCAGCAGCCAGGCCCTGGCCCTCCCCCCGCCAGATCCGCGGCCGCGCTCATTTTCCAGATCCCGCAGCTAATGTGCGGCCCCCTTCATCACCACGTGCGCCCCGCCACATCCCCCTCCCCTCTAAATCCCCGCCAGCCAGAAACTGGCAGGTCCACGCGCCCGAGTCCCACCCTCGCGCGATAACCCTGGCAGCGCCGCCGACCGCCCGACCCGCCCGCGTATCGGTCGTCCCTCCGCCTGCCGCTGGAGACCAGTTCCAAAGGCCTGGGCCCTCGTGCCTGGCGCCCGTTGCGTCAGCAGGCGACGCTCCGCGGCGGCCCACGCCGCTTGGAAGCCACGCTGACGTCGCAGGTGCCAGCCCCCGTTTCGGACGCCATCCCCGTTGCGGAAAGATTGCGCCGAAATCCCCAAAGTCGCCGGCATCGCCGGTTGGTGGCGCCCGTGGGGATCCTTTCGAGTTTTGGGGCGCTTTTGTTTTATTGCGAGATTGATTGGAGGGGGCCCGCCGCGCAGGAGTGAGCCCCCGGGGTGGGATGTCGGCGTCGATGTCGATGTGCGAGGCGGGGCGCCAGAGGGGCGCCGCCTTCGCGATCCGCTGGCTGGGCACGGAGCGCCGCGGGGAGAGGGAGGCGGGCGAGTCCGCGCTGGCGCAGTCGGTGAGTGCTGGAATTGGGGACATCCAGAGTTGTGGGGATTGTAGCTGGCTGGGTGTTCATTGCGCGCGTCGCCGAGACGTAATTGGGCATCCCTGGCGATGAGACGGGAGCGACGGTGGCATGGGATGATGGATCGCCGGGAGGGCTGTGCGCAGCGTGGCAATTTTATCTGTGTATTTGTGTAAGACTGGCTTTCCGAGCTTCTAAGAAGCACAGTGCGGGCAACTCCAGCATGCGACTGCACGGCTGCTTGCAAAGCGTCAAATGTCTCTGACGTCGCCCTTCCCTCATGTATCTCTCCAAAAGGCTTGCGTTGAAGAGTGAGGTGGAGTCTTTGACTGTGTTCCAAGCTAGGGTTTCTTGTTCAGGTTGCATTTCCTATCGACCAATTTGTAGCTGCTTGGATTGCTGCTGGCTCCCTACCCTTGATGGCTTTTGTCCATAGCATGTCAGTCAAGCCAGGCACATCGAAGCCTCAGATCGATCGGCACTGTTTCTATTGTTCAATGTCTGATCGCTTTTGGGTGGTTGGAGTGACAAAGTTGTCTCTGTTAAATGCGAAACGAAACACCAACATCGACCTCCTGATGCAAGGGGAGTGGCTTGTCATATATCAATCAAATTCGTGAACTCCATTGCATGTTGAGCCGAAAATGTGAACTATTCCATACCTCAACTACCTCAACAAGGTGTGCAGATAGCATTTTACCATCTGCAGAAGGAAGCAGACAATGTGAGGGATTCTGCGCCATATCTTTACTTCCAGTATTGCTGTCAGAGCTGTGGCTAAAGTTTTGCCGATTAAAGTCTGACGTTCTTGCTGGGTGCACTGCAGCCTGAAGTTAAGTTGCTCCGGGCGCTCGAAGAGCATCGAGATTGCAGTTGCCTTGATGAGGTGGAACCGAAGCGAGCCAGCATGGACATCCAGGTGCTAATACGTTGTCTTGCCTTGTGCCATTGCTGTCTTGCGATGTTCATTTTAACCAAAACGCCAAACAGCAACTACACGATTGGTCATACCACAGTCCTCCGTTATCAAATGCAGCGTGACATGTGCCAGCAGTGGGTGCCACAGCTGCACCTCTTCAGTGATCCCCATGGTCCCTGACTGTTACATCACTGCACTTGCAGTGCCAGGACTTCCAACCCTTCCCTGTCAACCATCCATGTTGTTGTGCCGATTCCATTTTATCCATCCAATTTTCTTCTGTGTCCCAGGGGAAGGAAATCGCCCCACAGCTGTCTGAAGAAGAGGGCAGCAGGTACTACTGGGAACTGGGCAGGACTCTGGGCCAAGAGCTCCTTCGCCGGCATGAATGGGGCCGGGATGCACACGTGGGGGCTCTGAACTTCAGGGACAGCAAGAGGCGGGCGCAGTCCCGCCTTTACAGTCAGCACAAGCTCAGCAACCCCTCCAGGTTCTACAGGGAGGCTGCGCGCCACCCCGAGGGGGACATCATGGACTCCATGGCGCTGGCCCTCAGGAGAAAGGTCACCTTGCTGGACTGCAAGGCAATGGGCGCTCAGCGCTCGTGCTGATGAATGGCATCGCTTGCCGTTCACCTTTCTCACCATGCAAGGGGCAGCCGTTGCGGGCACATGCTTTCACACCTTTTTGTGTCAGTACCTGTTATGCTGCTGGCCGAGTGTTTTTGCAGTACAGGGATCAGTGGCAGAAGTTTTGGCATTTTGGGACGCTGAGGCCCCATAGAAGGGACGTTGGCAGTGGGGTGCTGAATAGTCTGGCCAGATTCAGGCACGGGGACGTGGTGAGCAGCACAGGCAAGGTGTGGGCTGCTCTTTTCTTGGGAGATGGATGGGGATCCGGCGTTGGCTGGACAGCTGTGGTGGCCTTTCAGCAGTGATTTTGTTGCTGAGCAGCTGTCTGTCGTCAGGGCGATAGTGCTGCTTGCAACAACACGCTGGCTGATCCATTCCGCAGGTATGGGCAACGTGTTATTTTCAACGAGCTCTCAGGGTGTTTCATGTGCATATCTGGGGTGTCCCCGAGTATATTATATGCAGGCCCCAACGCAGGGGGCACTGCACCAAACTATGTCAGTATGTGAACATCTTGTCAACGACTGCGGCAAGTGCATGCTGCGGCTGTGCACTGGCCTGTGCTTCCATCTGTGGCACTGTGCGGAGTAGTTGTTCATTTCTATGGGGGTGACTGGGATTTTTCGCCAGGATTGGCAAGCATGGATAGAGGTTGCCTTGTCATCACGGGTTTGATTTGCAGTAGCACCAGGCAGACGGGTTAGCTTGGCTGAGTGAATGTCTCACGTTCGGTCGTTGAATGCAGTAAGGGTCCTTTTGGCGCAGGCAACATGGGACAGTTGCGTGATGGTTGGTTTCATCATTATGTTGGCACTAGCACATCATGTTTGACAATGTTGGCATCGCTGCTTGGGTGAGCGCCACAGCTGATGGCCATTGCTTCGAAATCCAGTGTGAAAACTGTACATTACATCCGATCGACGGCACCACTCGAATGGGCGCTGGGACAACCATGCCTAGTAGTTGGCTTTTTGGTAGAGTTCATCCTGTAAAGTAAATAGTGAAGGTTTTGCTGCAGTCTGCGCCACCTGTGGCGCCTTGAACTGCGTTCTCTATGGACTTTTGCACGTGCATGACTGTTCTCACATGTCCTTAGTTTGCTTCGTTGTGCCGTTGTTAGTCGAAGGCTGTCTGGAAGGAGTCAGGTCGGACAGCTTGCATCTTCCTGCTGAGCACGAAGAGGAATGAGTTACCGTGTCCAATGCAGTGATTGGAGAAGCAACGAAGTGGTGATAGCGCCTGTGTCAGCGGGTCAGGCAGCATAACTATTTCCACTACCACGCACAATGCATGGCAAAAGGACCCACGTGCCAGTTGCGAAAGGAGACTTGTTTCCATGCTGTGGAATATGGTGCAGTGGTGTCGGTGCGAAAATGTCATGTTCGCCATGCCGAAGGCAACGATTCTCAAGTGTGGAGCAAATGGTCGAAGCGAAGCAAATCATTGTAGTAGATCGAAAGTGAAACAGTGGTACGAAGGGAAGCACCAAACGAAAGATTGACGGAGAAATACGCAAGTCAGTTGGGACGTGTGACTGATATGCGACACTTCCCGAATGAGCGAAAAGCGGAGTCAATGGGGAACGTTTTGAACCGAACAATGTGACCTGTGATGAGATAGCCTATTTCAAATAGGCAATGTGAATTTAATTATTTCATCGAGCTAAGTGAGCACCCAGTGGGCATAAAATTACCCCCCGTTCTTGTTTGCTGAGATTCGGTTCTTGTTTTCGGACACCCTAAACCCCAACTACTGATCCACGCACCGGGACTGGCCTTGTCAGCGGAACAAGAACCGAATCTCAGCAAACAAGAACGGGGAGTAATGTACTCTCTTTCTCGTTGGGTTCCGGCGTACGGTGACGGGGCCACAGCGTGGCCCCCACGCGGCACACAAATGGCTCACCCGGGGCATCGCCCCTTCCTCAACGGGGCCTCCCCGCCAACACCGAGCCGTCGGCTGCCGCCCAACAAAGCCAGCAACAACGTTCGCCGACCCGTGCCCACCCCGCGCCTACTGCACGCCCGTGATCGCGTCGGCAGTGAGCATCCCACGGGCGCACACGCGCTGGGACGGTTCTTTCCGCGCCGGAGAAAAGTCTCAGGTAGGCGCACTTTGCGTCCCGTGGCCCTCTTGCCACTGACCGGCGATTGTTTCCTCGCTGCGGGGCTGTCAGCGGCTGCTGCTGCGGCTGCTGCTGCGGCTCCAGCCTTCCGACGGGCGCGCGTCGAAGCGAGTCCGTCGGGATGCCGTTGGGGCTCCTGAGCGCGCCGTCCCCGGCTCGGGGGGTGGGGATGGATCGGCCTGGAGTAGGGAACGGAGGGGTGCGACCGTGAGTGTGCTCTGATGGCCGAAGTGTTGATCCCGCGAGCTGCGCGTCGAACTAGCGGGACGGCCTGCGGCTCAATTTGACCGCCTCGACCGTCGACTGTTCGTTCTAGTCGTGGCATTTCACCCATGCTTGTTTGAGCCACCAATGGGTGTGCGCTGCTGCGGCTGTTTGTTCCTCCGATCACAATGTGGCTCAACACCATGTGCGCCGGGCCTGAACCCAAATCCCGTGGGCGTCCGAAACATCAACTACCCGCAGTTTCGTCCTGAATGCGGCTCTGTGTGCTTGGCCAGCGTTGGGATGAAGGCCACGCTGCTGGGCGCCCGCGCAGGGCGGACTTTGGGAGGAGGTGCCAAGGTGGGAGGGGTGGCGTCATGCCTTGGAGCTCAACTACCTTCTCTTGCCTCTCCTGAATGATCTGTTGAACCCGAAAACGCGCCATGCGATGGGCAGGATGAGCACTCCCGCCTGGCGTTTTTTGTGCGCAGGTGGTTTGTTGCACCGAGTCTGTTGCTGACCCTTGGGCCCCCGGCTCAGGAAGCGGCTGCACTAGTTGTATGTTGGCGCATTGTGCGAGGAGATTTGCGTAGCTGGGCTCCACCATTGTGATGCATTTCTTAAACCGGAAGAGGCTGCCTTGCACAGTTCGATGCATGGCTACGGATGAACTTGCCGATCTCTTGCATGGATAGGGTGGCATTGTGAAGGGCTTTGTGTTTCAATTCGAGGTGTTGGCATTAAGGGCTGCAAGAAGCAGCCATACTTCTGTTCCCTTCGAAACAATCCTGTGTGGCAGTAGAATCAACAGAATCCAATACGCCTCTTCTGCCTCCAGATTTGGATTGTTCAGTGTCTAAATATCGCATGTATTCAGCACTATTTAGAATGCCATGGCCAGACACCCTAAACTCTCCACAAGCGGAAATCTTGTACTCCTGCTGCTGTGCTCATGCACTCTCGACCTGCAATTTCGCCGAGGAGAGTAGAAAGTCCTTGTCGACGAATGGGGGGCAACGGCTCAGCAGTTGGCCATCGAGGAAAAGCATTCCTACCATTTCTTGTTGACACCTGGTTCAACTTGTCCCATGGACATAGACAATGGGAGCAAAAGCCTCAGCATGGATCAGCACCAGTTTACCTTTCCAGCGCATTTCATCACACTGAACAGTGGTGTTGTTGGGAGAAAGAAATAATGTTCATCAGCATTTTTGCTTGTGAGCCGCACCCAGCATCCCCTGGTAAGGGAAAGGGCTCTAAATCGTCGTGTTTTGAAGACAGCTCTTGAAAAGGATTCGTGCCATGCCATCGGCGGTGTGGCAGCCGATGGACGGTGAGAAACGGGCTGGAACTGAATGCAATGCACTGCTGGATTGACCCAGGTATGCATGCCAAAGTGCTGCATCGGTCCCGAGACCCAAAAAGAGAAGGCTCACTCGATGCAGGGCAAGCGACTGAAGGGTGCAAAAGCCCCCACTACACTGGAAGACATCAAGGATGATGTGGGGCTAGAACGGCTGCACAGCGGCGCTGAGGAAATCAGCAGTAGGTTCAGCTGCCTGAACAGAGCAGGATCCCTGCACCGAACAGTTGCCTGTCCGTCCTGGCTGCTCCTGCTGCTGCCCATTGTAGCCACAGGCTCTTTGCTGAGGGCTGCAATCTCCTTTGGCAGTTTGCATGGCCCAACCTGACCCATTGCCGTACTTGCTTGAGTAGCTTACAGTTTTGCTGCACAAACTGTGGCATACATGTCATGTTACTTCCAAACTTTTAGCAGAACGACCTCTGGCTGTCATTAGACCTGTGAGCAACGAGAAGAGAATGTCATCCATGAAAGAGGGGCTATTGGTTTGGGATATTCTGTTGCATTGCGTGGTAAAGGAGGTAAAGGAGCATGGCAAGGTAGATGGACCTCAATGCTCTGACTTGCAATTGAATGCCGTCCAAAAGGTTTGGGTCCAATTGAGGCAAACTAGCATCCTCTGGGCAAAATTGTGTGCTAACACCCAGAAAACATTGACAAGCATGTGTAGATCATAAGCTGACTGTTCCCGTATTGTCCACATTTCCGCTCCCCCCCACTCACCCATCCACCAACATCATCCATTTTGCAAGGCCTGGGGGCCCAGAAGACAACACGGCAGCATTGGCTGTGATCACCAACCCGCCAGAGTGGAAGTATCGACCTTCATTTCAAATATTGTTGGCCTTGCAGCCTCGAATTCCTGGATGTTGAACAGTTGTAGTCCTGTTCATGCACAGTTTTGTGGTCAATGGAACATACCGATCTGGTACAAGCCTTTGTCTTTTGTGTGCATGGGCTATGACTGTCCATGTTTGGTATTGTGCTGGACATGGGAATTGTCTGATGCACTTTCTTTTGTGGCCAGATTTCTGTGCCAGTCTTCCCGCAGGCAGTGAGGACGCTGAGGAGTGCTGGCTTGCTTACAGATACTTTGTCGATCAAACAGTAAGCAGATACCACAGGTGGCAATTCTAGTGGATATTCGGTTGTAAGAGCGTCTGTGGCATCAATTCCTTGATTTTGTGGCCCTTTTCACTGAAATGTGATAAAATGTTTGGAAATAGCAAATGCTGTACAGAAATGACTTGTTGCATCTGGCGAGGAATCAGCCCAGTGCATCGTGCACAGGTGGGGCATTATTTGCAAGCAGGCCTCCAACACTGAAGTGAGGTGGTCATGTTCGAATTATGGCTTGGAACCACTGCATATACTTGCATGTCTGTCGGCGAACAATGCTGTCTCACCACACAAATGTCCTTCCAGACATCTCCTGCTCAGCTGCAAGCACTTCAAACAATGATCCGATGATGCTGTATGTGCAAATGACTTGTGAACTGCCACAATAAGATAATGGTCCAAAATGCTGGACAGGCTGCTGGCACAAAAGGAAACGAATGCGTAGTTATTGTTCTGGCATTTTTGTCTCAAGTCCAAAATTGGGAACACGTTTGAGATTGTGTGTGTCCAACCTGTCTTAGCAGAAGAGATATTCATGTTTTGCCACCTTGAGACAAGGCCCAATTCACTGTGAATAGCAGCAGTGATGTTTGAATAATATATGTATGGTAATTTGTGGTGGACAAGGCATCTGCGCATGAAGTGAACAACCCTGGTGGACAAATTGACTGCTTTCTCCTGGCTGCAGACCTCTGCAGAAGTGGAGTGTGATCTTGAGAAGGCCCAGGGCTACGAGGGCCAAGCATGCAGTGGACTGGAGCATTGGGAGGAGTTCATGTGGGAGGTGCGAGAGTCACTGTATCCCCAGTACCCCTCCATTTGATTACAGATTTCAACTGCCTGACACTGTCAGTGCTGAAGGGAGCTGCGACAATGTCCCATTATTGCAGACAACATTGACATATCTCTTTGTGAGCTCATTTTCGTTATGTTGCATGGTCTACTTTTCTTGCTGTTACCTGTTTGAAGTGTTCTGTCGCATTTTCTTCCTGGTACAAGTCTTGAAATCTCCTTCCTTGAGGTGCATTCGCTTTGTCGAGCAGGACAGCACATTTGCTGCAGGCCTTTTGCTTAGATTGGTTTGTGAGACAAATAGAGCCCTTGCATCTTGCAGGCGCTGCTGGGGTCAGGGCCTCAAAATTTTGAGTTTATGTACGTCACTTGTTTACCTGCACTGGGTGTTCTGCAGTGCTGCGCAGCGCTGTGCTAAAACCACTGGAGTTTGTGCTTTATATGTGCGTGTCATGTGCTTCGGTGGGCATTTTGCTTGCCTTTTACTGCAGTCACAAGTCCCCAAGGTCAGATCGATTCAACTGAGAGTGGCAAGTAAAACTTTCTCTGGCGTTCATCCACTTTTGCCAGTGTGCTGTATTGCCCGAACACCAGGAGCCAGCACCTTGGCAGCATCATCCACAAGGTTCTATTGAACATCGAAGGTTGATATCTGCCTCTTGCTGCCAAAATGCTCATAGGTCTGTCATCACTAGTTTGGAGATTGAGCATACTATCATGGCTGATGGTAGTCCTGTTGTGCGCCCCACCTACTCATCTTTCCCTCATGCTTCCAAATTGTTGTGTCCTTCAGGCTGACTACAACAGCAGTGTGCGAGACACGGTCATAACACTGTCGGGAATCGCGCGAGCAAAACAGAGGAAAATGGTGGCCAGTGAGGCTGCATCCACTACTGCCGAAGCCGAGGTTGAGCGCAACATACCCACCCGTGTCCCGCAGGCAACAGCTGAAAGCTTTCTTGCACAGAATGGGGTGCGTGACAGCCCTGGAACAGCTTTCAGATGAATTTGCCGTGGCTTGTCGTGAAGGAAATGTTGACATCACCACACAGCGTCATGCCAGTGGTTGCAACGCCGCTATGAGCAGACATTGGCTACATTGCAAAACACTTGACTGAGGCGTCCAAGGCACTGGCAAGGGTGGTCTGGACTTGTCATTTGAGCAAGCCGAAAGAGTCTATGGTCAGAACTGGTGGCCAACAGGCTGTTCAATTATTCAGCCAATAGGTCGATCAGTCAAGATTCTGATTCCAGGACACTGCAGCATGCAGCAGCAAACGCCATACTGCTGGTGTTCACACTACTGTGAATGCAACAGATGACATATGGTCCTCCATGTAGAGTTTGTGTTGACATCGGTACCAGCAAGAGAAGAATCAGCAGAGAATGAGGGACGAAGCCCTAACTGACCAGTGAAAATCCTATTGTCTTGTTGAATCAATGCCAGTGCAGCTCCACTGCAAAAGCCTGATGGCAGCCAAGCACACTGCAGGGCCCCTTGTGGAACAGTGCCTATTGTGCCAACTTATTTGAACGCATTTGATGCTCCTGTTGTTTGTGATGGCCTGCCCACTCTAGAATCGCTACAGAGACTTGTTCTACAAGATGGATCACAACAACGATGGCCTGCTTGATGTTTCGGAGTTCCGTGAGTCCATGAAGACCTTAGGGGATGAGCTGGATGGAGACGCTGTGAGCACGATTTTGAATGCCCTGGACATCCATTACACCATCAACCTTGAGCAATTTCTGACGATTGTTGAGGTGTGCAGCCTTGCAAAAGGGCACATAGCTTGCCGTCGCAAGTTTGTTTCAGATGACGCTCTTTTGATGAGTTGTGTACTTCATGTGCAGAACACAAGGCATTTTCCATTCTAGTTGCGCAGAAAGTGGTGCTAGCCAAACAAGCTTGTTGCAGACCATGTCGCAGCGATCAAAAACACAATGCGCATTGCCCAGCCGATATATCAACGACTTTTCTACATGAAAAGGCTTTGCTTATTGCATCCCTTGTTTCTGTTCTTCCCCTAGAGCGTTCCACACGGACAGGCTGACAAGCAAGTTACCCAATACTTTATTCTAGTTTATTATTATCCAAATGGAATGTGCTGGGTTCCAGTTCAGTGCAGACATCGGTCAACTCCCTGCATGAGCGTGATGCAACATCGTCAACAAGATGAGCGTATGTTCATGCTGCTGTCACATCATTCTAGAAAAGGACAAACACTCACACCTTGAGCACTTCCAAAGGTCGATCACAATTTGGAGAGTTGGATCGCGGCGAAACTGTTTTAATGGGGCAGTAAGGTAAATGGCGGGACCGGGATTGATCTGGGTACTGTAGTGGGATGTCCCACTGCTCTACCATGCCACCTGACCAGGGCCAAGGAAGAAGGCAGTCTATTCCGTTACGTACCATTCAGCCCAACAGAAACTGTGGCAGTTATCTGTGGTGGTTTGTGAGCTTCAGGAGAGTGCTCACCTAGCTCTTGATCGCAATAGCCAACAGTCCTGTTGCTCAACAAAGTATGCATGCCCTGAGGTGCATGTTCTGCCACATCCGGATGTTGCACCCAGCCGTCAACTGTCCATCTATTGCTGATGGATGGCGCTTGCAGTGATTGAACGAAATGGTTTTCACTTGCGCTGGTCACAATGCAATCAGATGGATGGGCGCCTGAATATTCCTTCGATTGATTCATATGATGCAGGAACTGGAAGAGGCTGTCTTGAACAAATGTTCGTTGGCCAGTGGGGATTTTGCTGCCAGTGCCAAAATTTCCCACCTTCAAGTGCTGAGTGGTGTACTGCCATGCATTGTACTGTACTGCACTGCATGTTGTGCGGGATTCTCATTTGCAGATGTCTCGTCTGCCATTGCCAGTTGACCTTGCCATTGCTGCTGATGTTTGGCCAGTGATTGCCATGTGGTTTTCTCTTGCAGGCTGAGAACCTTAGGTCGCACACCTCCATTGCCGAATACCTGCGACACATGTCAAAGCGCCAGAAATCAAGCATTTGGTGAACGCAGGGTAGAAATGGAAGATCTGTATGTGTACTGTTAGGCAGTCTAACATCCGCTCCCTTTAACGATCGTTTGAAGGGAACACAGTATCATTGTGTATGGCTTCACGACAGCAACGACAATCCCAGCTGGTGGTGTCCCTTATCAGAGTGGTCACGGGTGATTGAGTGAATCACCTTGTGTGTGGAGGGACATGATAGAAGCGGTATCAGTGGTGCGTTGAATTTTGGATACTTTCTGCTCTTTTCGAATCACTGGTGGAAGGCAGATTTTTTTTGAGCAGGGAAACCAGTATTGTGATTGTTCGGTTGGATGCGTGCGTGGCGGATTGTGGCTGTTGGAGCATTGGGCTGTCCCCTTCTTTTGGACTCAAGGCGACATGTACCTTCAGCAGCGGTTGTTGTACCATATCATGCATGTTGTATGCGTTTGTGGGTGTTGGGGAGTATAGACTCGGAACGGCAGCAGAAGTGTGTCGTCATTTGCCCGTCCATCAAAGGTGCCAATGTGTTTCCTTGTTTGAGGTACTGGATCAGGAAGAGGCATGAACATGACCGTTTCCCTTTTGTTTTCTAAGCGCGCTCGATCAGCCAACAGCACGCATCAGGACCAGAACACAAACACATCCATCAGTGTTGCCAATTTTCATTTGCTCGTACTTGTCGTGTACACATTGGTGCATCTGAGTAACGTCTGAAAAGTGGTCAGCATTCCCCCAATCTAAAACCGGCCCCTTAGAAGACTTCAAGCTCAGAAAGAAAGCCGCTACATGAATGTGTTGTCCTCGCTTGACTGGTGCCAGCTACTCCTCAGCCATGTTGTAGAATATCTGCAGCACCGACTCGTGTTGTCTTTGTGAGCCCCCGGGCCCATCTGACAAAGAATAGGCATTTCAAGTGCCACAAACAGCAGACACATGAGCCTCATCCCAAGTTTATTCACTTCTCATATCAATCGCCAACAAAGAGACCATTCTTGCCCAGCAATTGATGCAGCCAGAATGTTCAACAATGTCTTTTTCCACCTTCGCCCAGGAAATACCTCGGTCTTTGTTGTCTGACCGAACTTACACGCGTTTTGAATAAGCAGATTTTAAATTCTAAATTGGCTTTAGATTGAATTTGACGTTTGATTTCGTTCTCATGTTTAAACGAGAACGAAATAAGATGTCAAATCCAATCTTATTCATAGCTGGGATATGTGACTTTATACGTGTTAGCATATCGGGGGCGCGAAAGCTTCGATGCCTCCAAGGCGGCTGATAATTTCAAATGTAAATTCTTATATTGTATGTTTTCTAAAATTTCAATACATATAAATAAAAACAAATATCCATAATGTATCCACACCTGCTTCTGGTAGCCACAACACGATGGCATGTTTCGTGGAGTGCACCCTGCGTTTCAAACGAAGAAAGGCTGATCATGCAAACCAGGAACACGCACCACAACTGAACAGGCACAAACCTTGCACGTTCAAATGGACGCGTGCACTCATAACCCTGTAAACATTTTCGAGCGTTTTGAATGCTTTTTGGGCGTTGTTTATGAAGATGAGGATGGAGTTGGCTTGTCATTCGTGTGGCGCATTTGCGCAGATATGTACACAGCCATTTTCCCACTCAGTTGTGCCCGGCTGCAACTCCTCGGACTCGCTGAATGATCATGTGTGCTTTAAGGGTTGGAGGATCATTAACAAACGCAGCCGGCTGCAGGCTCCTCCCCGATCCAGTACCCCAAGGAAGGCAACAAAGTCACGTTCGACATCCCGACGTCCCCTGTATGGCAAGGGGACGAAGCACGAGCACAAATGGCCGCCACACCTCAAGCTGCTCGACATTGGCGTTCCCGACGTCGTGAACAAGCAATTTGTGACGAAGTCGGAGTTGAGGTACTGGCCTGTGGAACTGCACGAATACGTGGACGTCGGCTCGGGCCACGGCGCCCCGCAGATCAGCACACGGAACCGCCTGCACTGCAGGGTGCTGACATTGAGGAGCCCGCTAGGAACATAAAGTGGATGCCTCCGGAGGGCAGCGGAGGACCCGGTTACACATGCATGTTAGGCAAGGAACGGTGTCATGGGCAAGTGCGTTGATGCACTGCGCTCGTTGGACATTTGCATGGAATGATGACAGGACTGTGACAACTTTCGGCTGGAGCGTGCTGGCCTCTTGTGGACGGCCTCCAATTCTCCTGAATTGCCCGGCCAAATATCCTCACCGAAAATATTGAATTTCAAAAGGTGGGAGTGTAAGTTCGCTGAAATGTTCGGACACAAAATGTTGATGGCAAACTGTGCCCAGCATCGCTTCATTTATGCAAAGGAAGCCACGTTTCAGAATGCATCAAAGGGAGTGTTGCTGTTCACAATGCGCTCATCGAAATTATCGAAACTTGCTATGGCAGTGGCAGCAGAGCCCCACACGCGCAGGGGATTCAGCAGGTGCGTCCTTCGCTTCAGGGGGGTCGCGGATGTGGTAAAGACAGCTCCGGGCAATGGCAGCCAACACGAGTTTTTCTACGGGCCATTGTTCGTAATTCAACATGCCTACTCATCACAGCGGCGAATGGCCCTGCGCTTCCACGCAGGCAAATGAGCGACGGCGAGGCGCATTTACGCTCAGCCTTTCAGTCAAGAAAATCTGGGAACCGCTCAGTTTCCATGGCTTTCGTTTCTGGGAACACCTGAACTTGGCATTCCCAACGGAGGCAGTTGGCTGAAAGCCACTGTGATTCGATGCATCACGTGCGCTCATTATTTTCATTGTGACTGTTCGCGTGTATTACATTGCCATACATTCTATTCTCCATCTGGAATATTTCACATAAGTGGCATTAGGAAAACGTGTGCCGGTATGCAGTGCGCCATTTTATGAAGGCCTTGATGAAAGATGCACCCATATTGGCGCTCGGCGAGTCGATGGCAACTGCGGATCCGGGTAGATGAAATGTGGATCAGGGGTACACTTATTCAGGCCAGCCAACGTTTTTCGCTTGTCGAGTGCGCACTTTGCAATGATTGCCCATTACAACGTCGTACTGGGTGGTCCACACATTGTTGCAAGGAACGGTACTTACTGTTCTCCCCCGAGCACATGCAGCAGAATCGGCGGCGAGCTGGTGTCTGGGGCCTGATGGCCCTCCGCAGAATTCTCCCTGCTGCATGCATCGTTTTTGAATGGATGGCACGTGTCGGGGGCTGTGTGCGTTGATGCCGGCCATGGCATGCCGCAGCACGCTGCGCAGCAAGGTCCCTCGGGTATCAAAGTGCAGTGGGCCTTGGCCAGTTGGCTGCTCTCCTTCGGTGAAGCCTCCTTTGTCCGCAGGAATCTCTGTGCAGGCCTGCCGCATGAGTTAGGAAATTCTTGAAAAGTGCATTGCGTTTTGTATTCAGACGTTGTGCACAGGCCATGATTTCTGAAACGCAAGCGTGGAAACTCCGGGGAGGCCCAGACATGGCTTCCGAAGATTGAAAAGGTAAGTATTCCGTCAAGTTGTGCCAACCAGTTTGGTTCGATTGCGAAGTTGTGTTAAATGCACATTTTGCCGTGAGCCAATGCGTTCGGTTGCGGGTAGCCAACTTGAGGGACGCCAGCTGCGCGGCTTCCATCAAGCAAACCTTCTTTACGTTGTTGGCGAGATGTCATTGACAAACGCACAAGTCATGGGGTGTTGCATTCGCGCCGGCCTTCAATCTCCCTCGTAGGAAATACTGCTTAGAGGCCTTCCAAAGTGCGGCTTTGTCCTCCAGGTCGGATTGCGGCAGAGGCCCACACAGAATGACCCACCCCTAAGGCCAAGTTGGCATGTGAAACAAGTTGCGGTGCAGTTCAAGGGATAGGCGGCCGTGACTAGGTCTCACCACTGGCGAAAGGGCTGATTGTTGTATGGGATGATGTACTGGGACGAAGAGAGGGTGGCTCCTTAAATTTACAGTCTTCAGGTTGCAGTTGTGCTTAACGAAGTGAGCGCCCACGCAGACTATCCGTGCATGTGTCTGCTGGCGCTCCTGAAGCTTGGTGAGTCTTGGGTAGCTTGTGTGATCCTCTTGATAGTCTCTCCGCGTTGAGGCTCCCCAATTCGAGGCGGCCAATGCAGCAATCGACCTCTGAATATCTAACAGTTTTCAATGTTCACCCCCAAAGGCTGAACTTAGATGCGTGTGTGGAGTCTCAAGAATATGCGATTGAGGCAAAATTTGATGATCGAATTATTTGTTGCTTTCCGCAAAAGGAGACAATACGCAGACTTCTGCATTTACTTTTGGCGGCGATTATTATTGTGCTCAAGGTGACATTGGGTGCGTGCCTCCCCCTCTCCTTGCTTCCCCTACTACCCTCAAGGGTGCAATCACCCAGGCATCCCGCGTAGAATCAGTGTATGTAGGACCGGTCGTAGGCTTATGCAACCTCCCATCGGGGTGATTGGGCCACCGTCCATTCATGGAGTCCACTACGTGTCACAGCGGCGCCAAAAACATTGATCAGAATGGCCTCATATTGCTGAACACCATAGACGGATGACTGCGAACCACAAATCCAAGGTCCTTTGCAGAAATTGATAGATTATATTCATGGAGGGAATGGATGGTATTGATTGGATTAAGAAATGTGCTATATTGGGTGTCGAGGAATGCTTGGTGCGTGAGTGGAATTGTTGCCAATTTGAACAACTGTAAACAGACTTCTGTTTGTGCAACATTCTGCAATCTCCTAGTAGGTAGTGTTGTTTTTGCTGTGCAGATTTGTGTTGTACAAGATATTGTGTAATTATCCTGCAAATGGCACCACCTTCCATAGTATCTAGTAGGTGCATACGCATTTTGGAATTGCAAGCATTGAAGTTGAGAATCGGCAAACCAGCAGAGCATTCTGGAGAAATTTGAGAAGATGCTAGAACTGATTCAACATCTGCAGAGACTTGGCAGACCTCTACAATATATTGGTTGCGTTTCTCTCAAGATGGAGATGAGACTAGTATTGAGGCTGATGGGATCAA